TCACTTTAAAGGATATTCCAAGTGCCAATCGAAGCTTGTTTATAGTAAGTGTGTTTGTGTGTGTGTGTGTGTGAGGCCCTGCAATGAGGAGGATGGGCACCTTTCAGGCAATTTGGAGTTAGATGGTGTGATTAATTCCATCAAAAATCACAATTGAGATTTTTCACCTCATTAAGTGTTGTAACTACCTGAAAGTGATGATGAACAAGGAGCCTGTTGGTGGAACAAACTTTCCAAAATGAATCGATAGTTTCATTGGAAATGGTCCACTTTAAATGCCTGGAATGAATGCAACACTGTAAAGTAATTACACAAAAGTCATACAGAGTGTGCAGATGTAGTGTATTTAATATTTCCATTACCATTAACACGTAGAAAATAACACAAATCCTTATTTCATGTTGTAAATAGATCCAAATTATGTACCTTTCTCACAGGAAGTAGAAAAAAGAAAACCAAAAGTCCAAGTTTAAATTTAATCAATACTGTCCTTACATTCCATGTTTCAATCTGTTGTATAATGAATACATGTAGATGGAAACTTGGACTTCCTCTTTCAACAGGAAATAGTGACTTCAGCAGGAGCATTGAGCACATGGTGAGTGTCTGTGATTTATACATTTCTTTCTGCAAAAGGGTTGATACTTGGTTGATTTTGTCTTTGTCAGTGAGTTACATCCCAGTGCCATGTTTTTTATGCATTTTCAAACTTAAAATGTATTTTGTATTGCATTTTCTGTTAAAAACGAAAATGTTATGACATAGATGTAAATGTGGAATGTCAATTTTATTTCCAAATTTCAATCTACCTACCAATTAGTTCATAGATTGAAATATGAAAAGAATATCTATATTCAACATTTTATACTTTTACAGCTACTTAGATGCTGCCCAAAGTTATTGTGGTAGGTGTCTGCCTTTGCCCCTCATTCTGGATTTTTCAATTAATTTAATTTAAAGAATGATAAAGCAGACCAGCTCTGAAAGGACAGCTAGAAAGAAGAGTGTCTAAGGCCCAGAAGAGGCAGAAAAGAGGTCTAGAAGGGGAAAATGTTTCTGAAAGGTACTGATAAAACAATTGAATGGAAGTGAAATAAAAGATTAACTTGTTTGACATGCAATGTGTTAGAAATTAAGTTCAAGAATCATGTCAGGAAAGGAAAGCTGTCTAAATATATCAAAACAGAAGGCAAAGCATGTCAATAAAAAACTTTTAAGTAAGCATCAAAAAGATATTGTATTGTTGTAGGGCAGGCAACGCATTTCAGGTCTGTTCTACTGCTAAATACCATCATAAGAAGAAATAAAAAGAATATTTTGTGACCTGGCTTGTCTTCACACATTGAAAAGTTATTAAGTTTTATTGGTAAAATAATAATAATAATAATAATCCTTATTTGTAGAGCACTTTTCAAAAAGAAGTTACAAAGTGCTTTAACAAGTGTAACGAATAATACAAAAAACAAGATAAGAGCATGAAAAATTAATATAAAATTAGTAAAATACAATAAAATAAAAGGGATAAAATAAAGTTAAATAAGATCGGGAAAGGCTCTCCTATAAAAGTATGTTTTAAGAAGGGACTTAAAAGAGTTCACTGACTCAGCCGACCTGATTTCCTCGGGCAGGCTGTTCCAGAGCCTCGGGCCCCTCAAATGTTAAATGTGCTTCGTTTTCCCCAATGTTGACATTTTTAACACTTTTCTTTCTTAGCCACTCTAAATGCAGAGGTCTAACAGGAGCTCTTCCTTACCTGGTTGGCAGGATGGTAAGTGTATATCAGAAGGGAGTGCCCTTTATGATGGTTTGTTGACGATACAAAGCTTCATTTGTGCTATTTTTAATCTTCCACAGAGTGAGCGACTGTGCGGGCTGTGTTTCCACAACTTCAGCAACTTAAAGCAACACCTGAAAGTGTCCCACACCATTCAGAACAAAGAAGAGTTCCAGCTTTTGATGCGATATGGGAATTCACGGTTGGATCAAGATAAATATATTTTATGTATGTTATTTATTTTTCTTATTTGCACTGATTTCCTGAACTCTTTTTTTCCATTTCCCACCATAGAACTAGCAAATACTTGGAATGCAAAATATGTGGGAAGAGGAATCTCGTCCGCCTTGACAAACACTTACAAATAGCGCACAACATTGGTTCAGCAGAGGTAGGAGATTCAATTTGTGACAATAACGTCTGCACAATCTGTTGTAAATCATGTGTTTTTCCATCTAATGCTACTTTGATGTCATGAAAAATATTGTTGAAAGGAGCGAGAACCGATCATGAGGCAGGCCAAGAGAGCAGTCATAGTTAAAATGCTGGCAGAACTGCGTGAGTCCAGCCCTGATGTGCCCATGGTATCCAGCTTGGACTTGGGAGTTACCATGGAACATGGTAATTTTAAGTTCTGTTAATGTTATGATATATATGTGGACATGATAGGGGCACTGAAAAGGGGCCATACATTATCACATCCTATTCAAACTCTAGTGGCTTCTGTGTAGCAACTAAATAATGCACATAGAGTAAAATTTGGAACCCAAGGGTTTAAATTTACAATTAAAATCTCCTACACTTTATTTTAGAGGAATTTGTTCTGCCCATTGGAGAGATAATTGAGGAGGCTGTTTCCAAGGAACTGAGGGAGGAGCCAGAGGGATTGGAGTACAGGGAAGAGGAGGAGGCCTCGAGTATCAATTCATCATCCAACAACCATCTTGCGACTGGAATACATTCTGCCTTCCAATGTTCCACCCCCATAATTCAAAGACAGGATCATGATTACAACATGTCCTCCTCCAGTGACCTTCCTGAACACACTGGTCAACTGCTGTTTTCCACCCCTGTTTCTGGGGCCCAAAACTCCTCTGCCAGTAACCAAATCCCTTCCACCGCCCTGTGTGCATCCATGCCTCCGCCTTCATGTGAGACTGTGATGTCTTTTAACCTACCGGGGCACTTGAGTGGCCACAGTGAACACTTGACTGGTTCAATGTCAAGGGACAGAATGTGTTACTGCGAGCAGTTGGATTCCAGGGTGCAGCAGTTGGAAAAAAAGGTGGACAGTTTGATGGCAATGCAGCAACAGACACCCATACTGACAAAAGCACCTCTATCTGTTCAAAAAAGTGAGCATGTCGGCAAGGGAAAGAAGGGCGCTTGTTTCTTTGGTAAGTTATTCATTTCTTGCTGTTACAAAAAAAAGAGAGGAGAGAGATAGTTAGAAGGTTATATTCTTTTTCATGTTTATTTTGCAGAAAAGGCTGTGGAAGACTTCTTCAAGTTTCGCCTGGGGCCACGGACTGGAAGGAAGGACAGGGAAAATGCAAGACAGTGTTCAAGCCATGCTTTTCGCTTTTGCCTCTATATGGCTGGTGGTCTACCCTCCAAGATCGTCTCCAGTGACCTAAGGTTCCTGAACCAAATGGACAAGTTGCGTGGGTAAGTTTTTTTTCGTGTTTTCTTGGTCCAGAAATATTATACTTTTTGCTTTTTACTTTGGCACAAATTACTCCCCAAATCTTATATATGGATTAAAATTATGATCTCTGATGTTGTGAAATAGATGTAAATATGGAATGTCAAATGTGGTGGTGGAATTGGAAGTAAGAGTGGCTTGTAATGGCTTACCTTTTTCCATAGTTGGCCAACATACCTGGTCCAGAAAGGCTACGCACCCTCATCAATGAAAAACATGTTGACCAACGTGATTATGTTTTTCAAGCATATTGAAAACTCCTTCCTGACTCAAAGTAAGCTCAAACAGAATGAAATAAATAAAATCCTGTACGAGCTGAAGAGGATCCAGGCCGAGATTCAAAGAACGCTAGTTGTCCACCGGCAAAAAGTGTTGCGTCGTAAAACAGGTACTTGTTCTTGTTCTCTTATAAAATTACAAATTGGATTCTCATCGACTGTGGTGCATTTCGCACTATTTTCACAGATGATCAGCTTCATGCAACTCAGGAAAGCGCTTTCATGACAGCTGCGAGGGAAAACATTCCTAAACTGTTTGGTATGTAGACTTCAACATTTATGCTGCAATACTCATTTTTTGGTTGCTTACATTCACAACCAAATTTTTTTTTAATGTTTTGTAGAACGATTGGAGAGCAGTGGAAATCAGGAGAATGAGCATTCTAAGCTAATGGGCTACATAATGGGCTACCTGTGCATCCTCACTGGACACAGATCGGTTGTCCTCACCAACATGACAAAGGAAAATGTGGTCAACTTTGTCTGTTGGAATCATGGCAAGAGATTCCAAGTTCTGGTTAGTACCTCTATTTTTCGGGGGGTTATTTACGCTGGGCTGGACTTTTTAACCTGGACTTCATGTCATCCCTTCCTAAGTGAAACCATCTTTAGTGCACATTTCAAGTGAAAGCTGAGGGGTTAAAGCAGTTTCAAAGAATTTTCTAATTTAAAAATAAAAATGGCTGCAAACATTTTAAATAAAACAATAGATAAATTCTGGTGATAAAATAATGTGGAAACACTGTTCATTTGTTTTTTACTATCTTTTTACTATCTGGGGATGGGATTTGGGTTGTAAACATACCACTCAAGAGCACAACTTATGTTTTTAATTGAGGACTGGCTTTTTCAACAAAAAAATTACACATTTCACTTAGACCCACGAGTAAAAGTTCATAAGTTTATTTACAATGTCATTTTACTTAAGTGTATCATAGGCAAGTAGTTTTATTAGTAGTCTTATCTATTGTATTAAATAGATGATAATTTGGTGTAATACAAAGTCTGTCATTTCAAAATGTTATTGAGGGAATGGATTGGTTCTAGGTGGCAATGGAAGAAAAACAGGTGTCACCATCACGCTAGAGATCATTACCAGTAGATTCCAGTCTATTAAGTGGGCCATATATTCAATTATGGAATCACTTTGAAGGCCTATATTTTCAAGACCAAGGAGAAAGCAGACTGATTCCAAGTACTGCTGTATCAAAGGTAGCTGCATGTCTGTAGGCACAAGTAATCATGAGAAGGGGATTAGGGGATCAAATGATTCCAAATTCATGCATTATATGGATGACATTTTGGTTGTACTTCAAAGGCTGGTGTTTCAATAACTGATTGAGAGAATGGGTTGATTCTAGTTATCAATGGAAGCTTGTAGTTTGCTATATCAAAGACAGGTGGCTGCACCACTGTACTTTCATGCAGTGCTGAGTTACTAAAGGACCAGTCGATTCCAAATTCTCATCTACTGCGTGGGCCATAGATGCAATTCTGGAATCACTTTGACGGCTGATATATTTAAGACAAATCGAGAGTGCATGTTGAGTCCAAGTACCAATGGAAGCTTTTAGATGTGACGTGTGGCCTCATCTCCCAGCTACAAGTCAACAGTTATTGGTGATTTGTTTTGTTTAATTTAAGTGCATCCACTCAGACAAATCATGATTTTCTGAATTTTATTTCCCAAGGTTGATGACCACAAAACCATGCAGTCATTTGGTCAGGCTGCATTCAACCTAAATGAGGAGGAATTTAGGTGGCTGGAAAACCTCGCTAACTGCAAGTGCTCTCCTCAAGGTCAGGCCAGTGATTATGTTTTCCACACAACACTTGGAAAACAGATTGGTAAGGCCGGGAACTTCCTTCATCTCGCTTGGGTGGACTGTGGAATGAAGGGCACAATCAGTTTTAACAAGATCCGGAGCAGTGTCTCTACTCAAGTAAGTACTTAATGCAAGATAGGATCTAGCCATAGGATCGATTTTGAAGTCATAGTTGGTAATTTTTTATTTCTTTGCTGGGGTTTCCAGGCCAACCAATACCTATCTGAGAAGGAGAGAAAACAGGTGGCAAAAGCCATGTGCCATGACCCCAGCACGGCAGAGAGATTTTATGTGGCTCTGCCAGACAAAGTCACAGGATATGAGACGAGGAGGCTGAGACTAAAGGCTTTAAAGATGGCCATTGCAAAACCCTCTGAAGAGGATGAAAAGATAACTGATACTTCATCAGACGACACACCAGAGACAAGCACAGAGGATGAGGAGCCAATCTACGATGACCACGAGTCCGTCTCTTCACTGTCATCTGAGGAGTTAAGGATTATGCGTCAAAGACGTGGAAGGCCTTCCAAGGCAAGAAGCAGGGCGAGAATAACCTCCAGCTATGAGGTTCCCACATCATCACAGGACAGCCTTCCACCAGCGCAACCTCTCAAGTCCAAGAGGAAATTGGATTTCTTAACTGAAGAATCTGCAGAAATACATATCTACACACCTTCGAAGTGTGCTATTGTTGTTGAGAAGTTGCACCAACCAATTGCTGAGTATTATCTCTTCAAAGCAAATCTTTCCAATGCCCTGCCTGGGCAAGCACCCCTTGCCGACCCAAAGAACCTACCTGCACAGAGCGCCAGGTTCCTAGCAGCACCGACAGCTCAGGAGGAACCAAGTAGCGAGCCCGAGCCCCTCACTGCCAAGACCACAGATTACGTGTCAGTGCCCGCAACTGAGCAGGTCCCAGGGAATGTGCCAGCACCCTTGATCCCCCTAGAGCAGACTCCCGACTGGATGCTAGAAACGCAAGAGGAGAAGAATGCACAAACCTCTCCGGGACTGGACCCAGTATGTGTTCTGAATCTTATATTCCAGGAGACACCAGAGTTGGTGCCAGAAACACCAGAAGACCAGATGCCACAAACCCAAGCGGAGGATGTGCAGAAGTCCTAGCCAGGTAGGGCCTGGAATGTGCCACAAACACCGTCAGAGGAAGTGTTTGGGTTTGTGCATGTCCCTTATTCAAGACACTAAAACATATTGCCCCTTGGATGTGATTACCCATTGATAGGAATAATCATCTTTAAAAAGTTTAGGTTTTAAAGTAATATACATTTATTTAGCTTTAAAAGGAGAAAGAATGCTGACGCTTTGATTTATTTACATTTTTTGTAAAATTTATAGTTTGTCTGTGTTAGATTGCACAGAAACTAGACTGATTCAAATTCATGCTCACACACTCACACACTCAGCACACAAATCATGCACAGGCAAACATGCACGTATATACACACACACACATACACACACACACACACACACACACACACACACACACTTTTTATTTTGATCATACTTACTGAACTTAAAAAATGTAATATATCTCAGCAAAATTGTTGAAAGTAAAATTTTCAGAAACCAATTTACATGCTTGTCTGTCTCCTAATTAATTTTTTATTTAGTTTTCAAAGTTGTTCTGAGAATAAATGTAATGGTAAGTTGTCAAGACCCACAGTTCATAGGATTGTTATTTTTGAAAATAGCAATGGATAAGCATCTGGAAGTACTTCAAAGGCTAGTATGTAAACAATGGAAGGAGAGAGCAGGTTGATTCCAACCAATAGAAGATTGTAGATTGCTGTGTCGAAGACTGGTAGTTGCATCATGCTAGGTACAAGTCAGGTGGCTGCATCACTATCGGTATAAGTAATGATGAGTTATTAATGGCCAAAATAATTCCAAATTTTCATCTATTCAGTGAACACAACTGTGGCATCAGACAGAGGGAGAGAGCAGGCTGTTCAAATGCTAATGTAAACTTCTACATTTCTGTGTCAAAGAAAGGTAGCTGCATCACTTGAGGTAAAAGTAATGATGAGTTATTAAGGGACCAAATCATTCCAGATTCTCATCTATTGATTGGGCCTGTAGATTCAATTCTGGAATCACTTTGAGGGCCCATATTTTACACACAGACGGAGAGAGCAACCTGATTCCAAGTACCAGAGGAAGCTTGTAGATGTTTGGTGAGGAATATGAGCATCTTTCAGGCTATTTGGAGTTGCCTGGTGGGTAGACAGGGCATTCCAGGAAAACACAAATCATAATAACATGTTCTTAATCCTCATTGTTACCTGTGTTGGTGTCAACACCAATTTGTTATTATGATTTCTTGAACGGGCTGAAAAAGCAGCCAAGTGGGGATGAGAATCCTCGTTGTATAGGTTCAATTCAATTCAATTCAATTTTATTTATATAGTGCCAAATCACAACAACAGTTATCTCACAGTCCTTTTCATAAAAGAGCAGGTCTAGACCGTACTCTATGATGTTATTTACAGATGCCCAACAATTCCAATCAAGAGCAAACACTAGGCAACAAAGGCAAGGAAAAACTTCCTCTTAAGAGGCAGAACCATGGCTCAGGGTGGGTGGCCATCTGCCTCGACCGATTGAGGGTGAAGGAGAGAGAGAGAGAGAGAGAGAGAAGGGATGCAGCCTATACAATATACACACAGAGCTACGGACAGTAAAGATGATGTTGCTATAGACTAAATGAAACGTGATACAGATATTTACAGTACTGTTAATGATAATAATCGTAATGTTAATGATTATAATAACAATAATAATAATAGGACTAGTAACAATAATTGCAGCAAAGCATGTTGAGCAGGAACACAGATCCAGACTCCACAGCTCCAGAGCCAGAAACACCTGCAGGAAGTGATAGGAGGAGAGAGGGCAGGGAAGAGAAAGCACAAGACTACGGGAAAGGGGGGAAGTTGTGTTAGTAACATGCAATAATGGGACGAGGTTGCATACAGAGGGAGAGAAAGTAGAGGAGAGAGGAGCTCAGTGCATCATGGGAAATCCCCCGGCAGTCTAGGCCTATAGCAGCATAACTAAGGGATGGTTCAGGACTAACCTGAGCCAGCCCTAACTATAAGCTTTATCAAAGTGGAAAGTCTTAAATGTGGAGATGGTGTCTGCCTCCTGAACCCAAACTGGAACCTGGTTCCACAGGAGAGGAGCTTGATAGCTGAACGCTCTGGCTATTAGTCTACTTTTGGAGACTGCATTCTGAGAGCGCAGTGCTCTGGTGGGGTAGTAGGGTTCTATGAGCTCTTTAAGATAAGATGGTGCCTGACTATTAAAAGCTTTGTAGGTGAGAATTTTAAATTCTATTCTGGATTTTACTGGAAGCCAATGCAAAGAAGCTAAGACAGGAGAAATGTAATCTCTTTTCCTGGTTCCTGTCAGAACACGTGCTGCAGCATTCTGGATCAGCTGAAGAGTCTTAATGGACTTTTTCGAGCAGCCTGATAATAAGGAATTGCAATAATCCAGCCTAGAAGGAACAAATGCATGGACTCGTTTTTCTGCATAATTTTTAGACAGGATGTTTCTAATTTTCATAATATTACGTAGGTGAAAAAAGGTGGTCCTTGAAATTTGCTTAATGTGAGACTTAAACGACGTGTCCTGATCAAAGATAACTCCAAGATTCCTCACAGTGGTGCTGGAGGCCAGGGCGATGCCAGGTAAGCTAGTCCAAACAAATACATATAATCATATGCCAATGTAGCCACATGAGGCTACACCTTCAAGTGGACAAGACAATAGAGACATTGTATTATCAAGGTGAGAGCGGATCAGTTAAAAATCAAAGACATCAGTTGGTAGTAAATTGGGGGCTAAGCCACAGGGGTGAGGGGTGAGAAAGGTTGAGATCTTCTAGCTGGATAAGTGCGTCTCTCAGAATACTCTCAGAATACAGATTGACATAGATCATTGCAAGTGCCAAGTGAAGCTTATTTAAGCCTCTGCCTTATTGTTTGTTTTTCATGTTGTAAATTGATCCAAATTGTCTACTTCCTATTTCATAGGACATAGAAAAAAGAAAATATAAATTCCAAGTTTAAATTTAATCAATTCAATCTATTGTGTATTGAATGCATGTAGATGGAAACTTGGACTTCCTCTTTAAACAGGAAGTAGGAGCTTCAGCAGGAGCACTCAGCACATGGTGAGTGTCAGCTCTCTCAAATATTTTTAGATTTGTCTCATACAAAAGTGTTGATACTTGGTTGGTGTTGTCTTATTTCAGTGAGTAACATCCCAATGTCATGTTTTTATGCATTTTTAAACTTTTAAAAAGTATTTTGTATTGCATTTTCTGTTAAAAAAGAAAATGTTATGACATAAATGTAAATATGGAATGTTAATTTTATTTCCAAATTTCAATCTACCTTCCAATTCGTTCATATATTAAAATATGAAAATAATATATTAAACATTTTCTACTTTTACAACTACTTAAATGCAGTATTATACATTTTTAAGTTATTGTGGTAGGTTTCTGCCTTTGCCACTCATTCTGGATTTTGTGGATTTTACAAATAAAGTCAAAAAAAAGAAGGAACAAGCAGAATCCTACACCAGTTATGAAAGGACAGCCAGAAAGAAGGGCGTCTAGGGCCGAGAAGAGACAGATATGGAGTCTAGAAGGCGGAAATGTTTCCGAAAGCTATTGATAAAATTATTGTAAGAGTGTGAAAGAGTTTTAAAAAAGATTAACCTGTTTGACATGCACTGTGTTAGACATTAAGTTCAAGAATCATGTCAGGAAATGAAAGCTTTTTCAGTATATCAAAACAGGTGGCAAAGGATGTCAATAAACAATTGCTAATATAAAAAATCACACATTTAAAAGTTATTTTAGCAGTCCTCCTGAACAGGTTTGATTTTTTTTTAATGTCCATTTTCCCCCGGTGTTAACATTTTTTAACACTTGTCTTTCTTACTTCCTCTAAATGCAGAGGTCTAACAGGAGATCTTCATTACCTGGTTGGAAGGATGGTAAGTGTATATCAGTAGGGTGTGCATTTTATGATGGTTTGTTGATGATACAGAGCTTTATTTGTGCTATTTTTAATCTTTCACAGAGTGAGCGACTGTGCGGGCTGTGTTACAAAAACGTCAGTTACTTAAGGCAACACCTTAAAATCTACCACACCATTCCAAACAAAGAAGAGTTCCAGCTTCTGATGCAATATGGAAATTCACGGTTCGATCAAGATAAATGTTTTTATATATTTTCTTAATTTTTGTTATTTGCACTGATTTCCTGAAAGCTTTTTTTCCCCATTTCCCAAAACAGAACTAGTAAATCCTTGGAATGCACAATATGTGGGAAGAGAAATCTCGTCCGCCTTGATAAACACTTACAAACAGCACACAAAATTGGTTCAGCAGAGGTAGGATATTCAATTTGTGACAATAAAGTCTGCAAAATCTGTTGTAAATCATGTTTTTCCATCTAATGATACTTTGATGTCATGAAAAAAATTGTTGAAAGGAGCGAGAACCGATCATGAAGCAGGCCAAGAGAGCAGTCATAGTTAAAGAGCTGGCAGAACTGCGTGAGTCCAACCCTGATGTGCCCATTGTATCCAGCTTGGACTTGGGTGTTACCACTGAACATGGTAATTTTAAATTGTCTTAATATTACGATATATATATTGATTTGATACGGGCACTGAAAAGGATGCTTACATCATCATATCCTATTCAAAATCTAGGGGCTTCTGTGTGACAAGCAAATATAATACATATAGACTGAAATTTGGAACCCAAGGGTTTAAACTTACAAATCTCCTACACTTTATTTTAGAGAAGTTTGTTCTGCCCATTGGAGAGATCATTGAGGAGGCTGTTTCTGAGGAACTGTCGGAGGAGCCAGAGGGATCAGAGTTCAGGGAGGAGGAGGAGGCCTTGAGTATCAGTTCAACACCCACAAACCATCCTGTGACTGGAATACATTGTGCCTTCCAATGCCCCTCCCCCACACCTCAAGGACAGGATCGCGTTCATACCTTGTCCTCCTCCAATCACCCACATCAACAAATTGGTCAACAGTTTTCTTCCACCCCTGTTTCTGGGGCCAAAAACTCTTCTACCAGTCACCAAATTCCTTCCACCGCCCTATGTGCATCCATGTCTCCGCCTTCACGTGAGACTGTGACTTCTTTTAACCTACCGGAGAACTTGAGTGGCCATATTCATCACTCGACTGGTTCAATGTCAAGGGACTGCACGTCCAACTGGGAGAAGTTGGATTCCAGGTTGCAGCAGTTGGAAAAAAAGGTGGAGTGTTTGATGGAAATTCAGCAAGAGAAACCCACTCCATTTAAAGCACCTCTATCTGTTCAAAACAGTGAGCATGTCGGCAAGGGAAAGAAGGATTCTTGTTTCTATGGTAAGTTATTCATTCTTTTTTATTACAATTTGGGGGAGAGAGTAGAGAGATGGTTTTTGTTAGTATGTTTCTTTCCCTTTTCACGTTTGTTTTGCAGAAAAGGTTGTTGAAGACTTCTTCAAGTTTCGCCTGGGGCCACGGACTGGACAGAAGGACAGGAGCAATGCAAGGAGGTCCTCAGGCCATGCTCTTCACTTTTGCCTCTACATGGCTGCTGGTCTACCCTCCAAGATTGTCTCCAGTGACCTAAGATTCCTGAACCAAATGGACAAGTTGTGTGGGCAAGTGTTTTTCTTGGCCCAGAAATATTATATATATTTTTTTTAGATTTAGGCACAAATTTCTCCCCAAATATTATCGATGGATTCCAAATTGTGATCTCTGATGTTGTGAAATAGATGTAAATATGAAATGTCAAATGTGATGGTGGACTTGAAAGTAAGAGTGGATTGCAACTGCTTACCTTTTTCCATAGTTGGCCAACATACCTGGTCCAGAAGGGCTACGAACCTGCAACAATGAAAAACATGTTGACCAACGTGACAATGTTTTTCAAGCACATTGAAAAGTCCTTCCTGAGTAAAGGCAAGCTCAAACAGAATGAATTAAAAACAATTCTGCACGAGTTGACGAGGATCCAGGCTGAGATTCAAAGACTACGGGTTCATTCTCGGCAAAAGCGGTTGTGTCGTAAAACAGGTAAATTTTGTCAAGTTCTTTTTTGTCTTGTTATCTAAATAAATTTCAGATTGGATCCTCAATGACTGTGGTGTATGTTGCATTGTTTTCACAGATGATCAGCTTCATGCAGTTCAGCAAAGTGCTTTCATGACAGCTGCGAGGGAAAACATTCCTAAATTGTTTGGTATGTAGACTTATTTTTTATTTTTTGTTTTGGTTGCTTACATTCACAACCAACATTTTTTTTCACGATGTTTTGTAGAACAACTGGAGAGCAGTGGAAATCAGAAGAATGAGCATTCTAAGCTAATGGGTTACATCATGGGCTACCTGTGCATCCTCACCGGACACAGATCGGTTGTCCTCACCAACATGAAGAAGGAAAATGTGGTCAACTTTGTCTGTTGGAATCATGGCAAGAGATTCCAAGTTCTGGTTAGTACCTCTATTTTTCGGGGGGTTATTTACGCTGGGCTGGACTTTTTAACCTGGACTACATGTCATCCCTTCCTAAGTGAAACCAACTTTAGTGCACATTTCAAGTGAAAGCTGAGGGGTTAAAGCAGTTTCAAAAAAATTTCTAATTTAAAAATAAAAATGGCAGCAAACATTTTAAATAAAACAATAGATAAATTCTGGTGATAAAATAATGTGGAAACACTGCTCATTTGTTTTTTTTATTACTGGTGGGCCATTGATTTAATTCAATCAATTTGAAGGCTGATATTTGAGACAGAAGGAGCGAGCAGTTTGTTTCCAAGTACCAATGCAAGCTTTTAGATGTCTGAATTGCTGTATTAAAGACAGGTGGCGGGATCTCCCTAGCTAAAACAACCAGTCATTGATGACATGTTTTATTTTTCAAGATTGACGACCAGAAAACCATGCAGTCATTTGGTCAGGCTGCATTCAACCTAAATGAGGAGGAATTTAGGTGGCTGGAAAACCTTGTCAACTCCAAGTGCTGTCCCCAGGGTCAGACCAGTGATTATGTTTTCCACACAACATTTGGAAAAAAGATCGCTAAGGCCGAGAACTTCCTTCATCTGGCTTGGGCAGACTGTGGAATGAAGGGCACATTCATCTTTCCCAAGATCGAGAGCAGTCTTTCTACTCAAGTAAGTACTTAATGCAAGGTAGAATCTGGCCATAGGATTGATTTTGAAGTTGTAGCTGTTTATGTTTTATTTCTTTGTTTTTCAGAACAGCCTTCCTCCTGCTCCTCCTCTCACGTCCAGGAGGGAGTTGGATTTCTTAAGTGAAGAATCTGCAGTCTCAAAAATACATGTCTACACACCTTCAAAGTGTTTTTGTGTAATTGAGAAGTTGCAGCCAGTAGTTGCTGACTATTATCTCATCAAAGCAAATCTTTCCAATGCCCTGCCCAGGCAAGCACCCCTTGCCGACCCAAAGAACATACCTGCGCACCTGGCTGAGCAGAGCACCAGGTTCCAAGCAGCACAGAAAGTTCAGGAGGAACCAAATAGTGAGCCTGAGCCCCTCACTGCCAAGACCACAGATGAGTACCCAACTGAGCAGGTCCCAGGGAAAGTGTCAGCACCCTTGAGCCTCGTGCAGCAGACTCCCAACTGGATGCTAGAAACACAAGAGAAGGATGAACAAACCCCTTCGAGACTGGACCCAGGGTGTGTTCCAGATCCTATGATCCAGGAGACAACAGAGTTGGTACCAGAAATGCCTGAAGACCAGATGCCACAAACCCAAGCAGAGGAGGTGCAGAAGCCCTAGTCAGGCAGGACCTGGCATGTGCTCAAAAACCCATCATGCAGGTTGATACCAAGAACGCCATCAGAGGAGGTGTTTAGGGCATGTTCCTTGTTACAAGACAGTAAAACACAGTGCCCCAAAGATGTGATTAGCTCTGGTTGGGAATAATCATGTTTAAGAGTTTTAGAGTAATATGTTCATTTATCTTTAAAAGGAGAAAGAATGCTGACGCTTTGATTTATTTAATTTTTTTGTTTATAATTTACAGTTTCTCTTTTTGTTAAATTGCAAGTTGGTCTAGGTAGTCTGTTACACACACACTTGCTCACACGCACAAGCACACAGGCGCACATGCACAGACATGCACACACACATTTTACTTTTAATTATAATGTAAATTTTACTTAAAAAATATATCTCAGCAGGATTATTCAAGTAAATTTTTCCAAGACCAGTCTACATGCTTGTGTTTGCCTCTTATTTGAGCCTTTTCTTTATAGTTCTGCTCATTCTCACTCTCAAGTAAATGTAATGATGAGTTGTCAAGACCCTCTGCTCTTTAAATTGTTATATATTGGAATAGCCATAGATGAGCAACTGAAAGTACTTCAAAGGCTAATATGTAAAGGATGAAGGGAGAGAGCAGGCTGATTCCAAGTACCAACAGACACTTGTAGATGCTGTATAACTCTAGCTACCAGTAATGATGAGTTGTTGATAAACCAAATAATTCAAAATTCTCATTTTATGAATTAGATGAATGACATTGTGGATGTATTTCAATGGCTGTTGTTTCAAAGTCAGATTGACCTAATGAGCTTATTTAAAGTACCCATGGAAGCTTGTAGATGTTTGCATCAACAACAGGTGACTGCAACACTATAGGGTTATACAATTTGTAGTTATTCAAGGATGAAAAATGTTCATATTCTCATCTATTGAGTTATCCATTTTTCCAAAAGTGGAATAACTTCAAAAGTTGACATTTTAAACACAGATGGAGAAAGCAGTCTGATTCCAATTACCAAAGGAAGCCTGTAGATTGCTGTTTCAATAACAGGTGGCAGCATCACTCCAAGTGAAAGTATCGACGAGGTATTGAGGAACCAAATGATTCCAGATTCTCATCTTTTAAGTGAGCCATAGATTCAAATCTGGAGTCATTTTGAAAGCCTATATTTAGGCTGAGTACCACTGGAAGCTTTTAGAGTGCTTTATCACATACAGGTGAGTACACCACTCTAGGTAAATGTGTTGATGACTTAGTAAGGCACCTAATGATTCCAGATTTAAATCTATTGAATGCACTAAATATGCAAATCTGAAAATAAATTAAAAGCTAGCTATGTAAAGACAGAGGGTGAGAGTGGTCTGAAGAACCTAAAAAGTAAATTCCCACATGGTGTCTGCACAAATCAGGGCAACATTTAAGACCATCTGTTCTTAACTTTCATAATGAGAATATTGATTTGCCTATGTGGTCACAGCAAAAGGTTTGGACACATTTCAGCCTATATGGAGTTTTCTAGCACCAGCACTGTGAGTTAATTTTTCCCATTCCATATATTTATGCACAGGATGTGAATTGGGGAATCAGAATAGGAATCAGAATCGGCTTTATTGCAAGGTATGTGTACACATATGAGGAATTTGACTCTGGATTTTACAATGCTCACCATGTGTTTACTTAAAATAAGACAGGCTATAGCATAGAAAACACAAATATACACACAATAAACAAACACAGTCATGACATTTGCCTGCGTTCAAAGTTCAAATTGAAGGTTGTAGACTGTTGCATCCAGGACAGGTAGATGCATCACTGTAGTGAAATTTGATGATGATTAATAAGGGCACAAAAAATTCAAAATTCTCAATTGCAAAAGATGGATGACATCTTGGGTGCACTTCAAAAAAACGGAATGGAATTGGTTGATTTGACGAACCAATAAAAGCTTAAACACTGCTTGATGACATAGATTCATGGGAAATGGTCCACTAGAAAAGCCTGGAATTAACATTGTAAAATAATTATTTAAAACTCATACAGAATGTGCAGGTGTTGTGTATTTAATATTTTAGTAACCATTAACATGAAACATAAAACCAGATCACAATTTTCTACTTCCTTTGTCACAGGAAGTAGAAAAAAAAATGAAACAAGTTTCCATGTTTAAATTTAATCAACAATGTTCTTACCTTCCGTGATTCAATCTATAGTATAATGAATGCATGTAGATGAAAACATGGACTTCCTCTGTCAACAGGAAGTAGAAGCTGCAGCAGGAGCACGGACCGCATGGTGAGAAAGTGTCAGCTCTGTAATTTATCGAGTTTCTCATGCTAAAAGCGTTGATACTTGGTCTATTTTGTTGTATTTCAGTGAGAAAAATGCCAGTATCAGGTTTTTATGCATATTTTTAACATTTAAAAGGAAATTTCATTGCTTTTTCTGATAAAAACGATCACTTGTTTGGCATAGATGTAAATGTGGAATGTAAATTTTATTTCCAAATTTCAGCCTACCTTCCAATTAATTCATGAAATGAAATTTTAAAAAAGCTTGCAGCTTTATTTTGTATTCTTATATTTGTGTTCAACTTCCTAGTTCATCCAGATTCAGTAATTACTGAAAAGTAATGGAGCCCCTCACTTTTTTAAAGTAATTTTGTTGCTTTTTCTGTTGAAAACGATCACTTCAATGACATAGATGAAAATTTGGAATGTAAATTTTATTTCCAAATGTCAATCTACCTTCCACTTGATTCATTAAATGAAATGAAAAAAACTTTATTTTGTATTCTTATGATTGTGTTCTAATTCCTAGTTCAACCAGATTCAGCAATTACTGAATAGAAATGGAGCCCCTCACTGCCAAGACCAAAGATAGTGTGTCAGCGCCCCCAACTGAGCAGGTCCCAGGGAAAGAGTCAGAACCCGTGAACCTCCTGCAGCAGACTCCCAACCGGATGCCACAAATGCAAGATAAGGCTGAACAAACCCCACCGGGACTGGAGCCAGGACATTTTCCAATTCCTACGATCCAGGAGACACCAGAGTTGGTACCAGAAACACCAAAAGACCAGATGCCAAAAACCCAAGCAAAGGAGGTGAAGAAGCCCTAGCCAGGCCGGACCTGGCATGTGCTCAAAAACCCATCATGCAGGTGGACCCAGGAGTTTGTGCCACAAACCGCATCAGAAGAGGTGTTTAGGGTTTGTTCATGTCCCTTGTTACAGGACAGTAAAAAACAGTGCCCGAAGGATTGATTAGCTCTGGTTGGGAATAATCATGTTTAAGAGTTTGGAGTAATATGTTCTTTTATTTTAAAAGGAGAAAGAATGCTGACGCTTTGATTTGTTTGATTTGATTTTTATGTTTGTAATTTTAGTCTTTTCGTTACATAGTCGTTCACACACGTGCTCATACATACACACACAAGCACACAGGTGCACATGCACAGACATGCACACATGTTTTGACTTTTTTTTTTATAATGCAATAATAATGTAAATTTAACCTAAAAACATATCTCAGCAGAATTTAATTTGCAGGTGGACCCAGGAGTTTATGCCACGAACCCCATAAGAAGAGGTGTTTAGGGTTTGTTCATGTCCCTTGTTACAGGACAGTAAAAAACAGTGCCCGAAGGATGTGATTAGCTCTGGTTGGGAATAATCATGTTTAAGAGTTTTGAGTAATAAGTTCTTTTATCTTTAAAAGGAGAAAGAATGCTGACGCTTTGATTTGTTTGATTTGATTTTTATGTTTGTAATTTTAGTCTTTTCGTTACATAGTCATGCTCATACATACACACACAAGCACACAGGTGCACATGCACAGACATGCACACATAAGTTTTGAGTTTTTTTATAATGCAATAATGTAAATTTCTAAGCAGATCTCAGCAGAATTTAATTTAATAAATTTTACAGACCAGTCAACATGCTTGTGTCTGCCTCATATTTGGGCCATTTATTTATAAAGTTGTTCTGCTCTTTATAAGTAAATGTAATGATAAGTTGTCAGTAGATTGTTGTTTCAATAACAGGTGGCTACATCACTCCAAGTATTGATGAGTAATTGAGGGACCAAATGATGGATGAAATTTTGGGTGCAATTCAAAAGCTGATATATCAAGAACTAATTGAAAGAACGGGTTGATTTCAAGTAACACTTAAACATAAGTGTCTGCATCATTCTAGGTAAAAGTGTCAATGAGTTATTGAGGCACAAAATGATTCCAGATTCTCATCTTTTGCATTATATGGATGCCATTTTGGGTTCACTTCAGAGGCTGATATTTCAACAACTGGTTGAAGGAACGGGTTGATTTCAAGTGTCAATAAAAGGTGGAAGACTCCGGTATCAGGGACAGGTGTTTGCATCACTGTAGGTACAAGCATCAAGGAGTTATTATGGGACCAAATCATTCCAGATTCTCATCTTTTGAGTGCACCATAGATGCAAATCTGGAATGACTTTGAAGGCCAATTCTGCAAAGACGGAAAGAGAGAGAAACCTCGTTCCATGTACCAGTGGGAGGTTTAAGAGTGCCTTACCACACACAGGTGGCTGCATCGCTCTAGTCACAATTAATGATGAGTTATTAAGGGAAGAAATCATTCCAGATTCTCATCTATTGATTGCGCATAAATGCAAATCTGGAATGACTTTGAAGGCCAATATTGCAAAGACGCAAAGAGAGAGAAACCTCATTCCATGTACCGGTGGGAGCTATTAGAGTGCTTTACCACATACAGGTGGCTGCATCACTCTAGTCTCAAATAATGATGAGTTATTAAGGGGCCAAATGATTCCAGATTCTCAACTATTTAGTGGACCATAGATTCAAATCTGGAATGACTTTGAAGGCCAATTCTGCAAAGACGGAAAGAGAGAGAAACCTCATTCCATGTACCAGTGGGAGGTTTAAGAGTGCCTTACCACACACAGGTGGCTGCATCGCTCTAGTCACAATTAATGATGAGTTATTAAGGGAAGAAATCATTCCAGATTCTCATCTATTGATTGCGCATAAATGCAAATCTGGAATGACTTTGAAGGCCAATATTGCAAAGACGCAAAGAGAGAGAAACCTCATTCCATGTACCGGTGGGAGCTATTAGAGTGCTTTACCACATACAGGTGGCTGCATCACTCTAGTCTCAAATAATGATGAGTTATTAAGGGGCCAAATGATTCCAGATTCTCAACTATTTAGTGGACCATAGAGTCAAATCTGGAATCAGTTTGAAGGGCTATATTTTCAAGACAGATGGAGATAGAAAAATGATTCTAGGTACCAGTGGGAGCTATTAGAGTGCCTTATCACATACAGGTGGCTGCATCACTCCAGGCACAATTAATGATGAGTTATTAAGGGGCAAAGTGATTCCAGATTTGAATGTATTGCATTATATGGATGAAATTTTCGGTGCTCTTCAAAGGCTAATATTTCTAAAACTGATTGACGGAACGGGTTGATTCAAAGTACCAGTAGAAGCTTGACAACTGCTGTATCACATACAAGTGTATCCACAATTCTAGACGCAAGTATCCGTGAGTTATTGAGGGACCAAATGATTCCAGATTCCTATCTATTGCATTACGTGGATGGAATTTTGGGTCCACTTCAAAGGCTGATATTTCAAAAAAGTTATTGAAGGAACGGTTTTATTTCAAGTAGTTATAAAAGTTGGAAGACTCCTGTATAAAGGACAGGTGTCTGCATGACTGTAGGTACATGTAATGATGAGTTAGTAAGGCACCAAATGGTTCCAGATTCTCATCCATTTAGTGGGCTAAATATGCAAATCTGGAGTTACATGAAAGGCTAGCACTTTAAAGACAGAGGGAGAGAGTGGTCTGGGTCCAAGTACCTAAATGGCGATGCCCATATGGTGTCTGCAGAAATCAGGGCAACGATTAATGCCATTTGTTCTTACCTGGGTCTGTGTGGCTAACTGTCACTCATTACAAACTTTCATACTGAGAAAATTTATTGTGGCACCGTATTTACCTATGCGGGATGTATGCATGGTCACAACCAAAAGGTATGGTCACGTCTCTGCCCATTTGGAGTTGCCTTGCACCAGTACTGTGGGTTAATTTCTTCCGTTCCATGTATTCATGAACAGGATGTGAAAAGGGGATTTGTGACCTTTGCCTGTGTTTCAAGTAGCACAAGTGATGATGAGCTAATAAAGAAACCAAAACATTCTATATTCTCAAGTCCAAAGGATCGAATACACTTTGGGTGCACTTCAAAAGCTGATATGTCAATAACTGATTGAAGGAAGGAGTTCATTTCAATTGCCAATAAAAGCTTGAAGCCTGCTGGATCACATTCAGGTTGCTGCATCATTCTAGCTACAAGAATCAATGAGTTTTTGAGGGACCAAATGATTTCAGATTCTCCTGTTTTGCATTATATGGATGACATTTTGGGTGCAATTCAAAAGCTGATATATCAAGAACTACTTGAAAGAACGGGTTGATTTCAAGTACCGCTTAAAGCTTGAAGACTGCTGTTTCACATACAGGTGTCTGCATCATTCTAGGTAAAAGTGTCAATGAGTTATTGAGGCACAAAATGATTCCAGATTCTCATCTTTTGCATTATATGGATGCCATTTTGGGTTCACTTCAGAGGCTGATATTTCAACAACTGGTTGAAGGAACGGGTTGATTTCAAGTGTCAATAAAAGGTGGAAGACTCCGGTATCAGGGACAGGTGTTTGCATCACTGTAGGTACAAGCATCAAGGAGTTATTATGGGACCAAATCATTCCAGATTCTCATCTTTTGAGTGCACCATAGATGCAAATCTGGAATGACTTTGAAGGCCAATTCTGCAAAGACGGAAAGAGAGAGAAACCTCGTTCCATGTACCAGTGGGAGGTTTAAGAGTGCCTTACCACACACAGGTGGCTGCATCGCTCTAGTCAAATTAATGATGAGTTATTAAGGGAAGAAATCATTCCAGATTCTCATCTATTGATTGCGCATAAATGCAAATCTGGAATGACTTTGAAGGCCAATATTGCAAAGACGCAAAGAGAGAGAAACCTCATTCCATGTACCGGTGGGAGCTATTAGAGTGCTTTACCACATACAGGTGGCTGCATCGCTCTAGTCTCAAATAATGATGAGTTATTAAGGGGCCAAATGATTCCAGATTCTCAACTATTTAGTGGACCATAGATTCAAATCTGGAATGACTTTGAAGGCCAATTCTGCAAAGACGGAAAGAGAGAGAAACCTCATTCCATGTACCAGTGGGAGGTTTAAGAGTGCCTTACCACACACAGGTGGCTGCATCGCTCTAGTCACAATTAATGATGAGTTATTAAGGGAAGAAATCATTCCAGATTCTCATCTATTGATTGCGCATAAATGCAAATCTGGAATGACTTTGAAGGCCAATATTGCAAAGACGCAAAGAGAGAGAAACCTCATTCCATGTACCGGTGGGAGCTATTAGAGTGCTTTACCACATACAGGTGGCTGCATCACTCTAGTCTCAAATAATGATGAGTTATTAAGGGGCCAAATGATTCCAGATTCTCAACTATTTAGTGGACCATAGAGTCAAATCTGGAATCAGTTTGAAGGGCTATATTTTCAAGACAGATGGAGATAGAAAAATGATTCTAGGTACCAGTGGGAGCTATTAGAGTGCCTTATCACATACAGGTGGCTGCATCACTCCAGGCACAATTAATGATGAGTTATTAAGGGGCAAAGTGATTCCAGATTTGAATGTATTGCATTATATGGATGAAATTTTCGGTGCTCTTCAAAGGCTAATATTTCTAAAACTGATTGACGGAACGGGTTGATTCAAAGTACCAGTAGAAGCTTGACAACTGCTGTATCACATACAAGTGTATCCACAATTCTAGACGCAAGTATCCGTGAGTTATTGAGGGACCAAATGATTCCAGATTCCTATCTATTGCATTACGTGGATGGAATTTTGGGTCCACTTCAAAGGCTGATATTTCAAAAAAGTTATTGAAGGAACGGTTTTATTTCAAGTAGTTATAAAAGTTGGAAGACTCCTGTATAAAGGACAGGTGTCTGCATGACTGTAGGTACATGTAATGATGAGTTAGTAAGGCACCAAATGGTTCCAGATTCTCATCCATTTAGTGGGCTAAATATGCAAATCTGGAGTTACATGAAAGGCTAGCACTTTAAAGACAGAGGGAGAGAGTGGTCTGGGTCCAAGTACCTAAATGGCGATGCCCATA